GGGTCCCCGGGCGCGCCCGCCCGCTTGCGCGGGGGCCCCTGCGCGCCCGCCTCGGGCTCGCGCTTGCGCTTCTCCTGGCTCACCAGGATGTACTCGCGCCGCTCCTTGTCGAAGGCCACGTCCCCGGCCAGCGCCTCGTCCCACGCGCCGTACTTGAGGTACTCGGCCGGCTCGGCCACCTTGCCCCGGGTGGCCAGCTGCCAGGCCTGGTAGCTGTTGACCGGGTCCAGCTCGGCCACGCGCCGCCCGGCCTGCCCGCGGGCGGGCGCGCCGGCCACCGTGGGCCGCAGGTTCAGGCACTGAAGGAAGAGCTGCTGGGAGTCCGGGGGGCCGCCCTGCACCACGGCGCCCTCCCCGGCCGGAGCCCGCGTCCGACCGGCCTCCACCCGGCGGTGGATGGCGTTGTGAGCGTTCAAGCTGTCCAGGTTTGTAAACAGGTTCCCGCACTTGGTGCAGACTTCGTAGAGGGACAGGCCAGCCACGATCATCTCCTCCTGCACCACGTTGTTGATGGTGGCGACGGGGTCCAGCTCGCTCCTGGGCTTGTTCTTGCTCCCCGTCTTGGGGCCGTGCGCCTTCATGTGGTTCTTGAGGAACCACGGCTCTTTGAATCTCCGGCCACAGATGTGGCAGCCGTGGTCGAAGGAGCCTCTGTGCTTCTTCATGTGAGCCTTCAGGAACCAGGTCTGGCTGAAGGCCTGGCCGCACACCTCGCAGGGGAACTCCCCGGGGGTCAGCTCGGGCTTGCCGGGCTCCGCGTCCGCCTCGGCACCGCTGGGCACCTGCGCGGTGATGTGGTCCTTCTCGATGTGGCTCAGCAGGGACTCCTCCCGGAGGGTCACGTAGCTGCACAGCCGGCAGCGGAAGGGCTTGTGAGCCTGGTGCACGTGGTTCTCCAGGTCCTTCCTGTGCTCAAACTTGCACTTGCAGAAGGAGCACTGGGCTGCGGCCTGGCCCTCCCCCGGGGCGCCCGCGGCGCCCTCGGCCTCCTTCTTGCTGCTCCTCAGCAGGATCTTGCTGTTGTCCACCTGGGTGGCCCCGTTCAGGATCCTGTTGCAGGCGGAGGTGCTCTTCGTGGGGCTGGTGCACCCATCCAGGCCCTCAGACACCCGCAGCTCGCCAGCCTCCGGCTCGTGGCCCTGGACCAGCGTGCCTGTGCGGTGGCTGCGAATGTGGATCTTCAGGTTGCCCTTCTGCGAGGCCCTGTGGTCACAGTAGGGACACTTGTAGGGCTTCTCCCCCGTGTGCTTGCGCATGTGCTGTGAGAGGGAGCTCTGGAAGGGGAAGCTTTTGCCACAGATGCAGCAGCTGTGGCTCATGGCCTTGTCCCCGTCCACTTCGGGGCTCCTGCTGGCCCTGCCGGGGCTCGAGCCCCTCCTCAGCTCCACCTCGGCCTCTCGGCTGCGATCCATCTCCGCGACAGGGGCTCCCCGGCAGGGGCGGGCACGGCTTTCTGTCGCACAGGCCTGCCAGACGCCGTCTTATCTCTCCATTTTCCGACGGGGCCTTGGCTTCCCGGCTGCGGAGACGCACCTCCCAGGACGACGTGCGTCTCCTACCTGGAAAGCATGGCGGGCGGCAGAGAGCACCTGCAACACAAGAGACACGGAGATCTTAGGAACACGGTTTCCCACGTGAGCAGGGACCCAGTAACATCCTCGGGGAGCGACGGGCAGGCTCCTTAAAGATATCAATCCAGTCCAGGTTAAAGGAGACGCCAACAGAAATTCAAATCCATGTACAAGCAGCTGCTTTGCTCTCAAAGACCAAAAGTTTAAAAAAAAAATTTTTTTTTTTTTGAGATTTATTTTTGAGAGAGACCGAGTATGAGCAGGGGAGGGGCAGAGAGAGAGGGAGACACAGAATCCGAAGCAGGCTCCAGGCTCCGAGCCGTCGGCACAGAGCCCGACAGGGGCCTCAAACCCATGAACCATGAGATGGTGACCTGAGCCGAAGTCGGACACTTAACCGACTGAGCCACCCAGGCGCCCCTCAAAAACCAGTAGTTAAACAACTACTGACAACGATTGTGTGCTAAATCATTAAAATAAATAATTGCTGGGGTGCCTGGGTGGCTCAGTCGGTTAAGCGTCCGACTCTGGGTTTTAGCTCAGGTCATGATCTCACAGTTTCGTGAGTTCAAGTCCCACGTCGGGGTCTGTGCTGACGGTGTGGAGCTTGTTTAGAGCTTGTTTGGGATTCATTCTCTCTCTCTCTGCCTCTCCCCCACTCTCACTGTCTCAGTCTCTCTCAAAATAGGTAAATAAACCAAAAAAAAATAAATAAATAAAACTTAATAAATACTTGTAAATGACTTCACGCTAAAATAATTTTCTCCAGAAGATACCAGATCTTTAAAGAGAGACTCAGGTGCATGAAGCTGTAGGCAGTGTGAGAAACACAGACCACAGACCCAAGCAGGGTGGGCAGGAATGGGGGCCCAGGGGAGAGGACCAGGGAGGAGGGTTAGAAAGGACCCAGAGGCACAGCTGGTGCCCAGGACAAGTGAGCCGCAAAGGCAGTTCACACCTACACGTACCGTTGTGTTCAGATGTTAGGGAAACGAGTCTTCAGCTAAGAGCACAGGTGATTTAGCGAGAGAGAGGCGACCAGGGGCAGAAGCAGAACCCTGAGCTCACACAAGGTCTGTGCTCAGGACCAGACACTTCCTGGTGCGCCTGGGCGTGAGACCACCGCCTCCCAGATAAAGCCCAAACCCTACGGCCCCTTCCCCTTCCTGTCCTGTCCTTGTCCTCCTGCACCATTACCCCACCCCGATCCGAAAAGGCACCCTGGGCTCTGGCTGCAGGACTAAGTCCCAGTCCCGGTACAGAGTACCCTCCAGACCCCGGGAGTCATGCAGCAACCCCCCCCCCCCGCCCGCCCCCGCCCACTTCACCAGAGGTCAGCCTGCCACAGTGCCTTCCCTCGGAGGCTGGGTCTGCCTCTCTCTGGCGACTGACAGCGGGTGTCACGCCGGGCCTCACTGTCCTGTCCACGGCCAGCGCACCCTCCAGAGGGTGAGCCGCTCCTCTAGGTGCCTGGGTGTTTCCAGCACTCTGTGCACAAGCCAAGGCCAACCAGACAAGGGAGGTGCCCGGTGCCATGCCCGCCACCTGCACTGCAGGAAAGCCAACCCGAATGCCACAGCAAAGCAGAGAGCGCACACCAGAGAGCAATCGTCTGCGGCAAAAACAGGAATTTCCATCTGACTTGTGATAGGGAGAATAAACAGTGAGCCAGTTATAAAGGATGTGAGGGAGGGCGTCTTCCAGGATCCTACTCTGATGGCTTCGAAAGGGAGGCAGGGCCACAGCTCCGGTGGGATGTGGTCTTTCCATCCCTCTTACCTCTAGTCACAAGTAATGGAGATCAGGATTCTGAGGGTCTCCCTGTGGAGCGGGGAGGGGCCGGGGGACTCCAGACTTGCACCAAGAGGCACCCGGATGGGCAGATTTGCTTTAAAACCAGCCAGGGCACGTATAAAGGAAGCCATGTTTTTACAAACCGACAACCTCATACGCACGACGAACCCGTGTTACAACATTTACGAAATACGAAGAAGTTGTAGGTTTCTGGTTCTCAGCGAACGTACTGATAGACATGTTTTGCTCACAAATGCAAGGCTGTCTCCCAACAGACCCTGGGGCAGTGACCCCTCGTCTGCTCTGGGTGGTCCAGCCTGCCACGTTTTCACCAGACCAACAGACGAGGGGAGTGTCTCCGGAAGGTGCCACCACTATGGCTTCTGAGCACCTTACACCATCTCACCACAAGGGTGTGTGGATGCTGCCCACGCTGGCCGCCTTCTGAACAGACAACACAGCTCCTGCCTTCTCCGACAGCTCCTCCCAGAGATCCTGAGGAGAAATCTTATTTGGAATATGTATTCCAAAACATCTTTTCCAAGCCCCATGCCACTGAGTTTCCCAGGCACCTCAGCAGAAACCCATGCAGTGAGAGTAGCAAAGTCTGAAAAGAGGCAGGAAGCAGAGCCGGGCACAGGTACCCTTTCCTCTTTATACTAACAGGTGCACAGAGCTCCTCTTGTTGAGAAAGAGCCCAAAAACATCAATGAGTCCAGTAATGTAAAGAAATAAAAGCTCCCCCTAAAATTGGGCAAGCGAGGCTAACAAGAATTCTTAATGACCACTTAAGCTAATTTAACTCATTTTCTCAAGCTGTTTGGGTCCTGGCACAAGTTTTATATGGCCGTAGGGTATTTACGAGTTTATAAGGCAAACGATGTGTGCGCATCTCCTCCTATCCCAAGGTTTCTTTTATCTGCCCCCCCAAAATGTTGAGTATGATAAAATATACAAAAGTAGGAGTCAAACACACTATTCATAACTACCTCAGTGACCTAATCTCGGTATAAGGATCTTATGAGTTTAAAGAATCATAAAAGAAATAACTTTACAGAGAAAAAAAAACACACTGGAATTTAGGGGTTCTGAAATAATTTTACAGACTCCACTGGACCTCTCGGCTGGTTAACGAAGAGTATTCAACGTCAGACAGTTCTCCAGCCCAAGGGGATCAAACAGCCGAAAACCAGCCACAGCGACAAGGTTCGGGGAGTGCTGGTGCTCAACCACACTCAAGGATCACGGGAGGCAACTAACAAATGCACCTGGAAATAAAAGTGCACTTTTTTCCAAGTGAGAAGACCGCTTCGGGTCATCAGAGATGCACGCTCCGTGGACGGTTTGTTCCTTCCTTCTCTGCCACCATGTGCTCAGCACCCCCAGGAGCCGTTGAGAGTCAATGCTTCCAAAGCCAGGGGGGCAGCTCCGGGGGCCTCTACCCCAGCCCCAGCCACGAGTGTCGCAGAGTGGACCCTGGGGGCCCCGGCCGCCCACTAGCCAGCCAGGTGGCTCACGGGGGCGACCCTCACAGCGCAGGATCCACCCGTCACATCTCAGGAGCTGAGAGTCACCGGAGCCCCTGGCGAGCGCCTTCCTCACATCCCTGCCACCGTCCATGAAGAAGCACCTGCCCAGGGCGGCCCGGCCGACGGCCTGCCCTACAGGGCACAGGAGGCCAGCAGGTGTGCGCGCAGCCCCGTCCGCCGCAGGGTGGGTGGGAGGCACCGGCCCCGGGGGTCCGGGCTGTGGGAGCCTCCGGTGGGGCAGCCAGGCTGCTGGTCCCACGGGCGCGGCCGCACTTCCCTCTCCGTCCATCGGGGGCCTCAGTCCTCTGCACATCGAGCCAGGCTGCCATCTTTGCTGGCGGAGAAAGCCAGGGTCCCTCTTCACTGCCTTGATGCACAGAGTCTGAGTCCCCAGCACCCCCGACGCCAGCCGGAGCCTGGACGCCGCCCCTCGAGAGCCCCAACGCCAGAGAACACGGCGTCCTCACGCGCGCTTCCTCCAAAACCAGCTTAAAAGCTGCCCCCAAAGCCAACAGGGCCCTGCAAGGAAGGACACTCACGGGGCCCCGGCCACCAGCAAAACAAGCCCTTCTTTCTCTTTTGTTTTCCGCCTCTTCTGTGCCCACCCCCACCCTTCACAAGCCAGCCCCGCCGTAAATCCCGAGGGAGCTGCACGGGGCGCACTTTTAAAGAACTTCAGGATATGCCCGGGCAGAAAATACATCCATGTGGAAAGCGGGGAAGTAACGCTCTGACAGTAGTAACTATTTAAGCCCCAAACGCCACTATCTTGAGGAAATCGTTAACATCAACAAAACTGGCTCCACTTGAAAAAGCTCCACTCGGTGGCCCTCTTCCTGACGAAGAAGCCAAGTTTCTTGCAAACCTTTAAAGGAACAGTCACAAAGCGACTCTCTTCCCCATCGGCCGCCAAATCAACAGATCTTTGGGATACTCTTTTCGGCCGCGGGCAAAAACTGCTATTTAAGCCAGGGTCGTCCCTTCTTTTCCAAAAAAGAGCAAGAATGCCGTCACCAGAGCTCTCATCTTAAAAATGCACCCCTGGGGGCACCTGGGTGGCGCAGTCGGTTAAGCGTCCGACTTCAGCCAGGTCACGATCTCGCGGTCCGGGAGTTCGAGCCCCACGTCGGGCTCTGGGCTGATGGCTCAGAGCCTGGAGCCTGTTTCCGATTCTGTGTCTCCCTCTCTCTCTGCCCCTCCCCCGTTCATGCTCTGTCTCTCTCTATCCCAAAAATAAATAAACGTTGAAAAAAAAAAAAAAAAAAGAAAAGAAAATGCACCCCTGGCAGCGGCCCCCCGTTTGGCCCCTTCCGGCCAAACACGTCCTGGTAGTGAGCTGCCCGTCTCACTCTCGCAGACACTCGAGCACACACCGAATGGGATCTGACGTTCTCACTGCTCCACGACACCGCGTTAACCCCAAGACACCTCGTGTTACAACACGTGTAGATAAACGCGAGCTCTTTACGCAGACCAGAGCAACTAAAGTCTTCCAGCAACGCGGACACGAAGAGGGAAGGGGCGGAGGTGACAGCAGACACACGTATGTGCTTTGGCGGACATAGGACAACATGTCGGCCCACACGCGTGCACAAACCGCGGCCCCGTTGGAACACATCCTTCGCCCATAACGAATCAGTTCTGTCATCGTATTACAAACTTTTTCCAAGGCTGTCACTGGGAACTTGCCAGACG